CGTAACGGATTCTGAAGAATTATGGATTGAGACACGCATCCGATGTACATACATATTTAGAGCACCCATCTCCCCCATCGTACCGTGAGGAACAAGTTTCAGGGATACACTCTATGAGCAAATTAGGCGGCCTCTTTTTATTGCTCCCTCCCTGTATAAGAAGCGACACTCACGAATGCCTTTTTTGTAAGCGGAACTTCGCTTTTCGGCTTTTTTCCCCGATTCCCTGATCTCCGCTTTGATCCCCTGGGGAATACATAGAATTTAGGGGGTTTTCGTTTGAAGAGCAAGTTAAGCCAGCAGAGGACACTGTGCACCCTTACAACTATAATCATCGGTGCGCATGACGTTTTCTGCTCACTTGATAATCGGTTCCTTGGCGAGGGTGGCAGAATCGCATGATCTTTGGTCGTTTCCGATCTTCAGAACTTCGATTCCTTCCCTTCCTAAGTGTTATTCAAGAGATTTTTACCTTTTTTGAAACCTTTTTTTAGAAACTTTCGTAGATCTTGCGCTCTCAAGGATACTCTGCATGGCGTCATGTTCGTTATGCAGATCCAGATCTCTGAGATGTATTTCGTAGAAAGAGAGACTGCGATAAGAAGAGTTAGGCTTAGGACCTAGTCATCCGAGTTAAAAATACTGCATTGTGTTACTCGTCCAAGCAAGACGAGAATAAGCTAAAAAACCTTGTAAGGATGTTTTAGAAACAGGGTCTCGCAATTACCTAGGTTATTTCAGCTGTTGTTCTGTGCGGGTTTCATTGGCCTTGACACGAAAGCCGAAATGACGTGTTCAGACAGTGTAATTTCTTCAGCGCCACCCTCACGTCATAAAGATCAGTTTTGTTTACTGACTGAACAACTTTCACTTCAACTTATCAGTACGAGAACCACCGCATGACGTTTCATTGATTCCTGGCCTGATCAAGAGCTTACTCATTCTCGCAGGGGGACGAGCCTCTCTATTCAAAATACCCATGGTCAGACTCGCTGATACAGGGAACTACCCTCGCGGATTGGGATCGATAATTTTGCTGAATCATTCCTCTGGAAAATGTCCCTTTGAAAGCAAATTTCGCGCGATAAAAGTAAAGCACAGCAGAAGCCACGAATGTGCCTCCATGTCCAGAGGGATTGGTGCTCAACCGGGTCATTACTGCAGTAACACAAGACAACCTTTGCGAAACCGTCACCTAATGTTGAAGTAGGAGTCCACGTTGATGGTATGGGCAGAAAAGATCTACTATCGTTCTTCCTCACTGGAACTGCCAGCTCTCCATCGTCTCGGGAAGACGGTCAAGAGGCATGATACTATTTACCCTTCACTGCACCAATATTCCGAAAACAGGGCAGCATTTTGCCCACTCTTTTCTCAGAGGGCAATTTAACTAAAGACTTGTTCCCAAACGTAGTTTCACCTCTTGAGCACGAATGTAACAACATCCGTAGGGGTTCCGCTTTGCCTCTGCACTACGGGCTACGGCAGCACGTATCTATTTGACTCCTGCGCATGCAGCGCGGACTTTACGGAGCTTCCCGTCGAAAGGCAGTTGGGGAACATGGCTAGGCGAAGAGGCACCATTTTTGAATGCGATTGTTGTAATTCTTCCTTTTGCTTGCGGTCAGCCTTAGCGGAAGAGGTTCACATTATCTTGAGGAAAGGATGCAGACGAGGACAAGTATGTAGACAGTCGCACGTACACGCACCCTTTTCCTCGCACTTAGCTCCCTCGGCACCCTAGACTGGTGCCTAGTCTCAAGGCCTTCTCGAACTAGGCGAGACCGATGACATCACCTTGGCATGACTGAGGAGAAAATGCTTGTTCCTGCTTGTAGAGCAACATACTGGGTACGTTTTTCATTTTGGATTTTCATTTACCAAGCC